CCAGGGCTTCTTGCAGGATACGAGTCAACTTTGAATCTCTGAGTGAGATGACGAAGGTCAGTGTGTCCGTGTGATTTCAAACCAAGCGCTCACTGTGATGAATCAATGCGAAACCCAAAATCACGTACCGGTATGGAATCATAACTGTCTTGCTCTTATTCTCGCTTTGCTCCTTCAAAATCGAAATCACCCTCCCAAGCGTCAAGAGAGATTTATCTATATTCCGCCGCTCCTGTTCCCGTGCCGCTTGATCGCGCGCACTGCTCTGCTCCAAAGCAGCAGTCTTAGCCGATTCCGACCCCGCCAAATCGACCATATGCAACTTGCCCTGTGCCTCCAACGTGCTGCCATCCGCCAATATCTGTTTCGTATCGACGCGAATGGTGAAGATACAATGTGATCGCGACGATTGTTTGTTCATGCTAGTTTCACCAACATGACGGGCCTGGACTGCCCCGTGCATAAGCTGGAGGACGTCGTGCGGCAACTGGACAGTATGATGAGATAGACCGCGACAATGGACTCCGCCCTTGTTGCCACCTTGAACAATATCAAGTTTCGTTGAGTTGCCCGGTGCCAGTAAATCCGAGAGTTCCTCGTTGTATATTTCCAGGTACGAACAGCTGACATTGGTTTCCAGGTATTGAGGCTTTTGCAGAGTATCGAAGATGGCCTGCGCTGCTCGCGGTATGACACCAAATTGATCAGCATCATCTAGGTTTCCTTCCATGGTATGAGTCTTTCCGGTACCGGTCTAAAGCACAGGGGGAAAGGAGAGAAGGTTAGCCGCGGGGCGGGGATCACGGCTTTGACAGCTTTCATCGACTGTACTGTACCTGACCATAAGCAAATACACAAGTCTCGAAACCCTTCAAAACATCTGAAATGACAGGACAAAGTGTCTCCGAGAAAACATTGTGTTGTGTCGAGAAGGAAGTAAAGACGTTATCAAAGGTGAATTGCGATCGAGCTTGTTTTGGACCAATACCCTTGATAACTGTAACGGACTTGTTCGAGGTGGATGCGGTTATTACGGGCAGTGTACCCTCCTTTGTCTCCTTGCTATTCATAGGTCGCAACCGAACGACTACTTGGACTGATGCCATGATCAAGCCAAAAGGACGGATTTTCGAGTCTTTTGCTCTGAGCAGTAAGGTCAGCTGAGTTGATCGGCTATCGATTAGACTATCGACTACAAGTACAGTGTACCTTGTGCGGTTGTTAGAGGTTGGAGGTCCTTTAATGAGTGGCCTTGTTGTTGACGTGGGACAGCAGTCTAAGATTAGCACGTCTACGAAAAGGCGGCAACAACAACTGTCAAATTTAGAAAATGTACGCCACTTTAAAATATTCTAAATATATCGAAGAAACCAAAAACGGTTAAACATACAGTGCTGAATACGTACATGTACCGCTGATTAGCAGAATATGCATACAGAGTTCGTAGCACTCGGGTACTCTACTACCGATAGGAGAGTGCAAGTATGGAAATTTTGCATTGTACTCCGTACTCCGTATTACAGTATTTACATCTGACCATTCCAGGCATAATTGGGTATCGTACCTGATACCATACCCTGGTACTTTCACACTTGTTGTCATCTAACATACCAATCGGATGACGGAGGCAGTCAGTGGCTTATCCCACATGTCCACATGTCACATAGCCGAAATGCACGTACGTCACCTTCTTTCCTTGTTTTCCTTCGGTAGGTCATCACTTTAATGCCAATCCCTCGTCCGGAGACTCATTCGTTTCAGGGAAGATTGCCGACATTGCTTCTGGTCCTTGCATCATTAGACTGTGATCGTGCCCCACGCCTTGTACTATGACACGACGGTGGTGCCGCCTATCTATGCCCACTAATGTGAGCGATTCGTAGTAGTGGAAGTGACGTTCCCAACGCATGGAACCTTGCAAGTCATCCATACAGGTTGTTTCAAGGCCATCAGATGCACACCAACCAGTTGCTGTCACCTCGGACACATTACATCTATCCAAACTTCCGATCATGTAGGTGACATGGCGGGATCGAAACCTGTCGACAATCCCCTCGGTCGTGTACGTCCTCATCGCCCGTCGCTTATAGGAATCATCTATTGTGTCACTATCCTCCAAACCCCATTCCCATTCATTGTACCGAGTGCAGTTGCTGTCCGGAGGGACAGCTTGCCAGACGCCCTGTATCTTGCGAAGTGGTGTCAGATAGGCATAGCTGCTGGGATTCGCAACGACGGCTTGCCAACGACTGGAGTCCACGGATGTCAACAGGGACCATCGTTGAACGAATTGACCGCCACTGGAATGACCAAAAATAGTCATGATGGCGTTTGTCGCTCGCGATAGAATTGTGTCCACCAATTGGTCCATCGCGTCAAAGGAGCTGATACGAATGGGATGTATCGATCTCGCTCCGTAGCGCCAGGGACCGTCGACATCATCTTCCCATCGCAACGCAGTTCCTCCTTCTCGCAACAGGATTGGCCCGTCGCTTACTTCGGCAAAGAACGGAACCACAACCAACACGTTCCGATACACCCTTTGCAATGTGGCCGCCGTCGATGCGGCACAGAAATAATCGTCGGCATTGCGAGTGGCTCCGTGAATAGCGATCAAGATATGATCCACGTCATGAAGATCTGCGTCCGCAACGACATCGCCATGTGACGAATAGTATGCAAGCTTGTTCACTGCGTCCACCAGCGGAAACCCATGTATGGTTTCCAACGTGTACTGTGCAGGACGACACAGAGTGTAGCGAGGTAGTTTTTGTAGCAAAGGATCTGTCACTTGGGAAGTCGCGACGCACGCTTGAGCATCGACACTGACATTCGCATCCTCTCCGCAACGGTATCCCACACCACATCCTGTTATCCCATCCTGACAGCAAGTTCCATTCCCGCGTCCCAGGTTATTGGAAATGCATCCACCCGGACAACATGTATTGCCATTCGGACACCATCGACCGTCGATACACCGTTCGAGGCACTGTACAGCAGCGAGGAGTGTCAAGCTGAAGCAACCAATTCGAAATGCCATTGTAGGTGACATGGCTCAGGATTCGTGAGAAGTGAGTGATGCTGCCAGAGAGTGTGAATTCTGATTTGTGAGAACAATGACATCAAACCAAATTGCTTACCCCGAGCTCCGAGTGCCGGCGGTGTTTGGGTTTCACCTTTCACCTATAATTCATATGCATACGTCGTACGATTGACAATTCTGTCATTAACACGAGCTTCTTCCAAATGTGCCGAATGCCGAATTCCGAACACAATGATGCTCCTTCGTGTACGAATATCGTCAATATCCTCTTCTGACTCGTGCTGCACATGTACGAGTACTGTGCTCCAAGCTCTACAGTGCAAGTACTTTGTGCGATGGAGTACATGGTAAAAGTACCGGTATAGGGTACTACAGGTACTCCGAGTATTTATACTGTAGTATTCGCATGAGAAGTGATTGAGTACTTCTTCAAGGTAAACGTACTGTACGGAGTATTCTGTGTAGAGTACGGATACACGCATATCATACCCTGTGCCTGTACCTGGTACACAAAGTAACTGTATAAAGTATGATACCAGCCATCTACGATTGACCAGCATTGGTGTCTTTACTTCAGATGAACAATCCACTGGGGCGGATCCCATGACTTCATCGCTATTGTTGAGCTCATCCCACTTCAAATGAATTCATACTTATGTTGTTTCTAGGCTTTTGCCTTCTGCAGTTATTGTTTGCTGTACTAGTAGCTAGTATCAGGTATCAGCACGCATAAAGCATTACCAGCGCAACCTAGATTTCATTCGTCTTATCAAGTGGAAAAACTTTGGAGTGATGGTTAATTTCCATGTTGCACTGGATTATCACCTTTGTTCATGGTCAGTAGTGAATGCCACGATCACAACAACTTCTATTTCTCAATTATGCCCTAGTACTATAATACAGCGCGCAATGATTCTATGCAATAGGTGAGCAATCATTTTGACTACTATACAGTCTTATAACGTCTCCAGTGCAACAGCAAAGGTGAGTCATATGGCAGCTGTTACATACTCTCAATGGAGACCGTATGATGCAAATGGACATTTAAAACAAAATGACTGTGACATGCCGAGAAGTGCTAGAGTGAAGAACAAAAAGAGATACAAAAGAAATAAACTGAAGGTCAACAAACCAACCAAGAACAAATGTCATATCAGAAATCAGACTGCTTACTCCTTCTGGTATGACATTGTCCATACAGGTGGTGTGTTGTCGTTACCTACTAGTACAACTCCGATGTAACATAACTCCCCGGAGTCAGGAGGAGCACTCCATGCAAGCATCTACAGGGACATCCAGGATTCCTTCTTATTCTGTTAGTGGGTTACGCAGATATACGTAGATTTGAAACTGAAATTTCATCAATATTCAAAACTGCATATGTTCATTGTGATGTCGGAAGAGTATTGGCTAGCGTGCGAGCCAGCAGCGTGGCATCATGGCGAACGTATTTACGAGAAGAAATCTAATCATGAACTTATTTACGAGAAGAAATCTTCTTGTGAACTTATTTATGAGAAGAATTCTTCTCATGAACTTATTCATAAGAAGAAATCTTCTTGTGAACTTATTTAAGAGAAGATTTCATCTCCTATCAATACACTTTCTCGTAGAAGTCTAAATTAAAAACGAGAAGGTATCTAATCGTGAACTTATTTACGAGAAGAAATCTTCTCATCAACTTATTTAAGAGAATAAATCTTCTCATCAACTTATTCATGAGTAGCTTTCTAATCGTGGACTTATTTACGAGAAGAAATAACCTCCGAGCCTGCCAAGCCCCCATTTGCATTCATGACGCCAGCCAGTATCCATTGACGTTAAATATTAAGCGGTCGTGTGTCACGTGACTCGATTTGACAGCCCAAAAAACTCTCGGTACAGTGAGGTTCAAGAAGGAATTCCGGATGTCCCAGGTAGATTCTGAAAAGCTGAAGTAAAAGTTTCAAAACAGCTCTTTCTGTGACGGGACTTGAACCCGCAGCCTATAGATTAGAAGTCTATCGCGCTACCATTGCGCCACACAGAAGTTGTATCTAATCCCCACGCATGGTTTTATGATATTTAAATACTGCCAAAATCACTCCATTCTAACTTGTTTCTCACTCTGCACCGAATCTACCGGTATACGCTGGTATTTCATCGGACTTGTTCCATGTCATATCACATATCACATATAATATTCACTAATTACCTCATACGTCGACTGACGTACACAAGTAGCGCGACGTGTGATACTATCATATGCATATATACTCAGGAGATACAACTACAACCATGAGAACCTTCAAACTCAAAGTGCCAATCCTATCGCTTCTCCTACTGCAGACGATCGGCGCAGCATTGTGCTTCGTGACTCCTTTTCAAAGTTATCATGCCCGAGCCCAAACAATAACGAAGTCGGTCCCACGGTATTCCTTCGCTCGTCACATGTCCCTTATCTCGGAAAAGGAAGCCAAGGCAGGAATCGACAAGGTCGTCAAGGCGCTTCAGAAAGACAGCTCTGCTAATCAGGAGCTTGGTCGACTGACGAAAGTCACCAATGTGTTAGGGTATGGGAGCCCCTCCAAGGGAACATTGGCAGTGAGGTTCAATGCCGCCTTCCAAAAGAGCGGCATGGGTCGTGCTGCAGTTCCGCTACCGTTTGGCTTGGGTCAATCTGAAGTCAAGGAAGGACGAGGCACCATGGTCGGCCAAGTCAAGGCTTCAATTGATGAAAACACTGGAAAGATTACGAGTTGTTCTGTCTTCCGAGATTTGGGCTATGGCAGAGCTTTTAATCTCAAGGTTTAGTTGACTCTGGGCAATTACAAACTGCTCTATTTAGTGGTGTATTACCCGATGGTCTTGACGAGATTCTTCTTATAACTCCCATCTTGCTTGTTTTTCCATTGAGTTTTGACCATCAACTTGGGCGTAATCGCAGCAGCCCTCTTTTCTTCCATCATTTGCTCATACTCTTCTCGACGACGCTGGACGGCACTCTTCACCTTGGCCTGACCGCCAAACATGTCGGTCGTCCTCTTGTCAATTTTCGCCGGAAGATTGAACGAAGGGCCAGGCGAGACCGTTTCGACTTTATCCTTGCTTTGATCCTTGCCTTTAAAGGCTTCCATCAGCCATTGGTGTCGATCGGCGACGACGTCGCCAGTTGCGATACGTTTCTTTCCATCCAGATTCAAAACACCCTGGCTTCCATCTCTCCCGTGGTTTTCGGATTGTTGGCGACTGCGATTCGCAGTGTCGTTGAAGTTGGCATTCACCACTGCCTTGACGATGCTGTCCATAATCGTCTTGCTGTCGCAATCAAGAGCCATTTCATTGTTGTTACGATCTACAAGCACTTTCTTAGGGAATCGATCAGCAATCTCAATCTTTGCGGCACTGTTCAAGCCAGAATCAACGACAGCTCGGCGTCCAATATGGGCAGTCGCCCTCTGATGCATTTGTGGAGAGGCAGCAAAGCTGAGTGCTCGCGCCAGCTTCGGATCCAAGGCACTTCCTGCCAGGGACAATGGCTCGTCACTGCCGAATTTGTTGGATTCCACGGAAGTATCGTCTGCCCCCGTTTCCTTCACATCGTCAATGGTTGTGCCACAAAACTCATCGAGTTGACGCACTGACCTCAAGTAGGCCCGGTGCAATAGGGCCGATTTCGAAGGCGACAACGGCGGGGATGCCAGTGGAGAAGTGGGCGTAACGCCGTCATCCCGTCTCTCGTCGTCGGCTTTCACGGGAGCTGAGAAGAGGCCCAACCGCATCGGGGTTCGGTCGTTCGAAATAAAATGGCGAACCTTGTTTTGCGGCTTAACCCTGGGAGCAGGAGGAGGTCGAATCTTGGCCGTGTGGTGGTATTCCTTGGCGAGTGGAGTAACCTCTTGGCGAGGAAAAACATCCATGAACACTCCATCCTGCACCGAGGCTGCTGCGGCAAACTCAATTCCATTCTTAGAACGAGGCGTCTCGACATCCTGACGGAGGTCGTCCAAGTTGTCTGTGTTGGAAGATTCAAGAACGATCGGCGGCTTGTTATTGAGGAAGAATGACCATTCTTCTCCTCGTTGTTTGTCATAAACGTTCCAACCATCCTCATCTAGCTCGTCAAAGGGATTTACGGCACCAGGAGGTGGAATGGGGGGCCACGTGCCAAAAGGAAACTCGATGCCTAGATTATCAACTTCTGGAAAGCTTGTTTGGGCCCACATTTCCTGTTCTGTAGCCGAAGACATGATGCTCTTGGTTTTTGTGAGTCCATTTTGTTCCACTCACTGATGTTGCTAGACGGCGATTGAAAGCTACCTCAACCAGTGGGAGTTGCTATTAAAATAAACTTTTTTCGCTTCGTTTGAACTCCCGTTCCATAGCTTATGATCTCATGATGCGATGTTGTTCGGAGTAGACAGTCTAGACAATAGACAAGAGCCTACATGGTGCCTGGTACAGTATCATACAGGGAACTTATTATACATGGTACCGTATCATACACCGACCCACAAGCGGCATTCCGCAGGATTATAACAACGACTCCGTTGAACGGGCTTTACATGTACTCGGAGTACCGTGCTCTACTGTCCCGCGTGTTGAGTGTGCCATAATATATATATATATCTATGTATATATTTATATGTTGTCTACACTCGTACTCTCCTGTACGTTTATCAGTACCAGGTACTAAAAAGTACGAAGGGTGTATGGAGTATGCGGTACGAGTATGCGCTATGCGCTGGTGGAGCTCCAGGAAGGTCCGGCCATACCTAGGGAATCGTGAATCAGACGAAAACACGTGATACCCTGGAGGTGAAAATCGCTTCCATTCTGAGTCGTGGTGACGCAACGTGAAGCATAGGCTGGGGCTATTATCATGTGCATGACGCAAAGTGAAAATTTGCTGACGGTCAGTGAAAAATTGCTGACGGTCAGTAAAAAATTGCTGACGGTCAGCAAAAATTTGCTGACGGTCAGTAAAAATTTGCTGACGGTCAAGAGAAATTACTGACGTAAGAACATACTATGTGTCCACGAAAACTTCTTAAAGACAAATCAGATTTTCTGACGGTCAGCAATTATTTACTGACGGTCAGTGATTTTTTGCTGACGGTCAGTAAATATTTACTGTCGGTCAGCAATTTCTTACTGACGGTCAGCAATTTTTTACTTACGAAGAGAAAACCTTGCCGGCTCGTTTGCTTCGACCAATGGAGCTACAAATCTCACAATACATACATATGGGAAGATCCCTGACGCATATTTGACGAGGGTCATAAACTTAACGGCTGAAACGTGCTGGGGCCGGACCTTCCAGGACACGTATGCATACTTGCTCGTACGAAGTCTACGTTGAGTCGCAACCCCCCTGAACTCTGTGGGCAGTCGTCTGTCCACTGGACGTCGGAGCTCCACCACGACCCCCTGTCAACAGATGGATTGATGGCTGAATCCACACTTCCCCTAGAGGAAATGGTTGAGGGGACTGAAGAGAAGGATTTGCATCCCCTGGAGCATGGTACGTTGTGTCATGTATGTGGCTTGATGAGATGGATCTTTAATAACTGTTTGGTGATAGTGGAATCGTGGTTGGACCTCAATGCAGTTACTCTCACCCATCGTCATGGCTTGCAAACCGTACGTTTATCCATTGGCAGTCCTCGAGTAGAATTGTACAGTGAAGTTGTAGTGCGCCGATACAGCAGTCAGACGAGAATCGTCGCCCTTGTTTTTGGAGTTTATGGCGATGCTAACAATGATCTCTCACACTGGAATCCTCTTCTCTCAATCTATCTCCTTCGACACCAAACAGAGTGGGTTCTGTGGGAGCATGCTGGCGGCGCGAATAAGGATGCAAATACGTGGAAAGAAAACATGAAGGCTCTTTGCGAGTTCAAAACCGTCGAAGGTTTCTGGCAGTACTTCAATCACCTCCCGCGACCCTCGGAGGTGTTTTTTGATGGAGAATGTCGCAAAAAGGTGGGTCCGGAAGGAAAAACAATCGAGGAGTACTCGTTGTTTAAGAAAGGAATCGAACCGGAATGGGGTGACCCTGAGAATGTCAAGGGAGGCGAATGGTTTTGTCGACAGTCGTTTGAATCGGATGCTTTGGACCTGTATTGGCAAAATTTAGTCATGGGTATTATTGGAGAATCCATTGACGATGGTCTTGATGACACTGGCCTATCGTACGTTAATGGTGCCCGAGTCGTTGACAAGGGCAAGGGCTACCCAATGTTCAAACTGGAAATATGGGTCAGTACGCGAGATGTTGGTCTTCGGGAAAAGATTCGGGAGAGGCTTTTACAGGTGCTGACTGACGGACAACCACCAACTAAAAAAGCTCACCCCAAATTCGATTGGAAAGATCATAGCCCTTAGTCAACTATCACTTTTCTCAGTGTGTACGATACAATGGCACACGTCCTGCTGCAAAGTCGCTCCCAGAATAGTTAAGCTAGGGAACACGTCGACAGAATAGTTTGGTCACTCGGCATTACTAGTTTAGAATCATTATAACTGCTTTTGCGCCAGCGCAACGAGCTGTTCCATTGCCAATGGTTTCCAGGTGCTGTCTTGATTCGCGAAGATGACGTTCGTGTCCAGGTAAATGGGGACGTTACCAAACAGAAAGATTGGCTTGCCATCATCAGTCGTGCTCTTTCCACCCGTGCGCGGTCGAAACGAGATGTCATGCTCTCGAGCGAAGTCCTCCACCACCTCGCGAAAGGTGGCAGTCACACCGAATTGCCGCCCCATGACGCGCTTTCGAAACTCTACGGCATCCTTGGTTTGCAAGCGCTCCAAGTCGTTTTCATTTCGATTGCGCATTTCTTTGGATCGACGCGCCAGCACTTCTCGGAAAGAGCTGGTTCTTGGTCCAACAGAAGACACGGTACCGTTCAATGATGCCGAAACTACAGCTTCGATCATTTTGAGCCCGCTGTAGAAGATACGGCATATAATCTCGTCGTTGTGGAGCAAGTGAAAAGCCATGGACGATGAAGCTCCGAACACATTTTTCTTCCATGCATGGTAGAATTT